ATCGGGTGAGCAGTATTTAAGGTCAAAAAAAATTAAGCTTCCTGGTAGTTTTCTAGGCAAGACTAGAATCTGCTCACCCCCATCGCACGTCCATATTTTGGTTGTCGATTGCGAAATTGTGTTCTCGGCAGTAGTTCGATCACCTTCGCTTGCTTGGACTGCAGTGTTTCAACCGATATTTGACCATATTTCCTAGAAATTATGCCTTTAAGGGTCTGTTCGCCTCGCTTGTTTGCTTGGTGGCAACGTATGCCATTTAAAACCCCAGAAAAAGCGTAATAACTATATGGTAGCATAATATGGACTTAATTCAGTAGGGAATACTTACAGCAGATTTCCAATGTCATTAAATGTAAGTCGTAATTCTGAAATAAATTGTTTATTTAGAACAGATTGACACGCGTTGATGTACCTGTAATATTGTTTGTCACGCAGTCCAATTTCAAGATATTGCAATCACGTCAGGCTGCCGGCTTTTGGGTGAGCTTATTTCTGACTGCCCCCAAAAGGCATACCCTGTAAAAAGGTGCCTATGTAGGTGTTATGCATTTTTTTCTCATTGGTTTTGAGTGTTCTTCTAACTTTAAATATATTTTGTAGGAAACATGCACGATTATGTTCTTTATTGTGCTCGTTTTATGGAAAATTACGTTCTCTTCAAATTTTATACTCGACAAAAGGTATCTGTCGGTTTTCAAAAGCCTCTTTATTATGAAAATAAGTCCGTGACATGCCAACTTATAAAGCATCTTATCTGTTCTTTTATTAATGTTGCTTGTAAAGTATGCTATATGATCGAAAGTAACTACAAAAGTGTAAGACTTCTGTATAACCCCTTCTAACTAGCATATATAAATGTAGGATTTGGCTCACATGGAAGACTTACAGCATGTAGTTTGCAAACCCTGAATGCAGGTGTAACGGCAGGTCGGATTAAAAGTTATTTGGAAATTAGAAAAACCGTTTAGAATCGGCATCTACCCTTTCCTAACCCATAAGATTTGCATCATATGTAAGTTGTTACCTAATGAGTACAAAAACGGATATTTTGTTCCTATTTTCTATGAAATGTAGTCAAATATATAGGTGCAGCAAAAATCAATGGGCAAATTTAATGGAACACAAGTGGCAAATTTATGCACAGCGAAATATTTCCCGGGCGGCCGAAAATAAGCTCATTTAAAAGCCGGCATATTAAAATGACCGAAATATCTGGGGATTGTGTTGCATTACAATTAAGGCAAGAACGATTATGGAGGCCACAAAAATCCCGTCGGCTTATAATAAAAAACTACTTTCAAAGGTTCGGTAGCCTGACTTCAAATTTTTTCGTTAACTTCCACCAATAGGAGGACGAATTTCAATTTTCGTTAAATTCTGCCTGCATAAGGTTAAATTTCCCTCGATTAGCATTCGTATGTTATGCAACAACAGTTTATATTGATTGGATTTAGTTGTGGTTAGTATATTGAAACACACATAATCTTATTTAATTTATTATTTTTTTAAAATCAATTCCGCCACAATTACTTATTTATTTACGCTCACTAGCCAAGAATTAAATGTTTGA